TTCATGGTCCCCAGGTGATGAATTGCAGTAATTTTGATCTTGTAACATCTAGCGCCATCATCTGGCCAACATGTATTATATTTATTTTGTAATACTAATATTTTGATTTGTGATCAAATACCTTTAAAACTAATAACATTCCTATCAGCATTACCTGCACTTTGTCTTAGGTGTTAAATGTTAGCATGCTAAAATGCTAAATGCAAACAAATTGAACAGTTAACCCAATCAGCATCAGCATGTTAGTGTGCTGATTTGAGCTTTTAACCCAAGAACGTATTAACCTTGACAATAAGCTCTATCTTATCTTGCTGTACATGCTTCCTCTGGGTCAGTTGTTCACTCGCTTCTAAGCAGGGGCGATTCTAGGATCAGAGGTTTAGGGGTGCTGAGCACCCAGAGAGCTGCCCGGCCAGGCAAGATAAATTTCACTGTTTTGTACATTTTAACTCAATTTCATTCCCACATTTGTGAAAGAAAAGCACAACACTTTTTGGGAAAGTCTGTGACTAAACCATCAAATCTGATAAAGGTTATTTAAATGCTGAGCCACAGCAAAAGAGGAATGGATTGGAATCATAAAAGAAACATATCGTAACCCTAATTTCTGGGGGAGGAAAACTCTTTTTGATACAGCAGCTCCTCAACATACACATAAACAGTATGTATGTTTCTGGAGTAAACCAGCCCCCTATAGTGAAACATACCAAAAATGGACCTTGGAATTTATTTTTTGGACTTTTATTTGAAATGCAATGCACAACATGTAACATTAACACATTAACGGTAGTTGACTTTTTCAATGTTTGTCTCTGCATTTTTCCTTCTTGTCTGTATTATATAATACAAATACATAAATAAAAATACACTTCAAAAAAGAAAAGTGCTTGGAATCTACAAAATGTAGGTACTGTATGGTTTTGATACTTTTCTAGCTTGTTAAAAAAGGGACATACAGTAAAAAACAACAAATTTAAAAAAATCTTTCAAATTTTAGGGGTGCTTCAGCACCCTGAAAAATGGGCCAGAAACGCCTATGTTTCTAAGATATGTCACTGCTATGCTGATGATACACATCTGTTGATTTAGCAAACCCAATAGTCTGAATCAGCTGTCCTCCCTCCATGACTGCTTAGCTGTCACCAAAAATTGGATGTCTCTTAATTTTCTCTACAAACCCTGACAAAACAGAAATTCTTTTAAGAGGTCCTGGTAACTTTGCCACTACAGTTGATCAGTTGAGTGGGCCACTTAACACAAATATCAACCTGTTGCTAAGAATCTTGCTATCATCTTTGACCAGTATATGACTTTGACTGCCATGTTTCCAGGCTCGACCAGTCCTGTTTCCTTCAGCTAAGTCGTATCCCAAAAATCAGATGTATGTTATCTTCTGTGGAACTTGATCTATTAATTCAGTTTCATTTTCTCCTGGCTAGATTATTGCAACCCTATACACGTGCCTCAGTCAAGCTGCTCTAACTTGTTTACAGTTGGTTTGAAAAGCAGCTGCCAAGCAGTTAACTGGAACTAGCTGTCGGTTCCACATTACACCTGTTCTTGCATCCCTCCACTGACTACCTGTGAAATTCAGAACAAACTACAAGATCTGGTTGATTACTTAAAAAGCACTGCATGACCTTGCCCCCAGTTACATTTCTGATCGTCACATTCCTTCTTCTCCTTCTTCTCAACCATGATAATGCTCAATTGTCAGCCTTTTATCCACCCCCCCACTCCAAATACAGGTGATCATGCATTCACTGTTTTAGCTCCAACCCTCTGGGATCAGATTTGTTGAATCTTTGACTGTTTTAAGTGTCATCTAAAACAAGCCTTTTTTTTATTGATCTTCATCCCTGCGTTATGTCTGTTTTAGTTTGCCTCTCATTGGTGTATTCTAATTTAAATTCATTTGTACTTGATTTAGTCATGCATTTATTTATTTTTTGCATACGTATTTGTAAAGCACTTTGTAAGTGTATGTTCTGACAAATCTTATATCTTATCTTATATCACAGCCTTAAAATTAGTAATAATCATACACTACAGATTATGGTCGTATCTGCCACTGTGGTCCAACAAAATGGTGTCAAACATGTTTTTTAAAAAGGGGGCATTCCTAAACAATCCAGTGTTATCTCATGAAACTATACATAGTTAAATTTGAATGATTTGCCTATTATGCAAATAATTGTGAGGTACTGCTGTTTGTGAGTAACAACGCTATTTCAACAACAGGTCTGAATTTATGCATTACACAAAGAGCAGCAGACAACAACAAACAAAGATGGGCACAGTTCTGCTCATTGTGGCCGCACCAGGCATGTGCTTTATGTGTTTTATAAATGTTTATATTCTTTCATTTGTGTACCTTGATATATCCTTGTGACTACAAAATAAAATGTTATGATGCATTTTTATTACTTATAACTATAATTGATGTACAGACTAATGCAGACTGAATACAACTGTTTTACATGGCTGGATAAAAACCTAAAGGGGCCTCGTGTCTAAGGGCCCCATTTCACCTTATCAGCCACTTGCATTGAATATTTTGTGGTGATTTCTGTTTCTCCAGTTCAGCTTGGTGGATGTTTTTTGCCGAACTGACTTTTAAAACAAAAACACTGACCTTGGATCTGCCTGAAAAAAAGCAGGAGCCAAACACTCTCATTGTTTCTTAAAAATTCAGTTAGGGATAAATCAATCCAAATGTCTGGGGAGTCTGTGTTTTGCACTGCTGGGCTGCCATTCATACCAATAATGAATTACCTGATTCTTTTCTCCACATTCATGTGCCTTCAGGCCTGTTGGTGGATCTGGGTTTTTATCCACATTTGGAGGAATTTTACTAAGTGGTAGAAGAAGTAATCTGATCCTTTACTTAAAAGACTTTAAGAACAAGTCCTGCATTTAAAATCCTAGGTAAAGGACAGGTTCAAAGGTTTTTAAGTGTGTCACAGATGCATTTTAGGGAGGGACATTTTGATAATGTCCAGCATGAACAGGAGAAATTAGTCAAAAGTCAGTCAGTCAAAAGTCTCCTGTGACTCATATCGGATTTTATGTGACATTATTAGTGATACATCAATGCGTTGAATGTTTCTGTTGTAGCTACTCAAGGTGGAGCTAGTTTTAACTAGTTAGCTAGTTTGGTCCAGTGGTTCCCAGCTGAGGGGTCGGGCCCCTCCAAAGGGTCACGATATATCTCAGGGGTCGTAGGATGATAATGGGAGAGGGTGAGAAAAGAAATTAAGTTCTAATACACAAATGTATAATAATTTACTAGACTTTTCTCTGATCTTTATGTTTTATTTTTATGAAATATTGAATCAGTTACTAAGATGAAACAATAGTTAAGAGGAGAAGTGTCTCTTTGCTGGAAATGATAACAACTCAGAGACATTTGACATTTAGTTTATTATAGAACTAAAAAAAAAAATGTGTTGTTGTCTCCCTGTAATGTGTTAGAATATCTTCAAATGAGTTGTATAGAAAGGAATTACATGTAAACTTTAAGCAATTTTCCTAAAATTATTTTTGTGACTTTCTGATATAACTATAAAAACTAAAATCTAGCTAAATATCTAATGATTCCAGCTTCTCAAATATGAAGATTTGATGCTTTACTTCATCATTTATTATCATATCAACTTGATCTATGTAGGCTTTAGACTGCTGGTTGATTGAAGCAAGACATCTGAATTTATCTGCATGGGTTGTTGATAATTATAACAAGCATTTTCACCATTTTCTGACATTTTAAACATAAAATACTTAAAGATAAAGGAAGATACTGTTAGAAAAAAGAGATAAGGTGAGATAAAATATACTAAGATTTGACGCAATACCACTCCAGTGAAAAATACGCCTTTAAAAAGATGAAGTTAAATTTTGTGTTTAATCATTAAAATCCATTTCAATGAGAAAAATGTCTTTCTTAATTGAGAATAATATTGCATCCATTGGTACCTTGTGCATGTATTGATGAAAATGTATCATCTGACTGAAACCTTATGCAATTAATTGAACTATTTTTATTTACTTGTTTTTACTGTAAGATAAAATATAATTTGTTAAAACAGGCTAAGCTTTGACTAGAAGTCACTCCAGTGAAAAATACACATTTAAAAAAGATTAACTTAAATCTAGTTTGAAATCAATAAAATCCATTTTCATGAGAAAATGTCTTTCCTTATAGTGTTGTATCCCAAAAATCTGATGTATTATTTTTATGCTGTCATCTTATTAGGGATGCAAACTTTAAGCAATTTTCCTAAAATGATTTAGGTGACTTTTATAATGTTACTGTAATCTCATCCAAGTAAAAATGCCAAATATCCAGTGGTTTCAGCTCCTCAAATATGAAGATTTGATGCTTTTCTTTGTCATATATGGTCATAAACTTATTATTATTATTTGCTTGAGTTGCTGAAATTACAACAGGCATTTTTCACAATTATCTGACATTTTACCCATAAAATGATTTAGGACAAGAAGGTAAGTTACTAAGATAATAGGTTAGTTAGAATAGATTTGACTAGAGGCCACACCAGCGAAAAACACACATTTAAAAAAGACTTATTTAAATGTTGTGTGGAATCATTAATATCAGTTTTGATGAGAAAATGTCTGTTTATAATGTCCTTGTAATGTTGCATCACAAAAATGTGTTGTTGTTTCCCTGCACTGTGTCAGAATACCTTTAAATTAGTCACACACACAATGATTATATGAATTATTCTTCTGCTGTCACTTCATTTATGAAGGATGCAAACTTAAAGCAATTTTTCTAAAAATATTTATATGACTTTTTAAATTTTACAGTCAAACAAAAATGCTGAATATGTGCTGGTTCCAGCTCCTTGAATATAAATACCTGATGCTTTTCTTTGTCATACATGTTGATAAACTTATTAATTAGCCAGCATCAGTCCTGACCCGGAAGTGTGCGCTGTGAAGCGGGCGGTGCCGTTTTTCTACATCCGGTGTGTTCGAACCTTTCACGAGCAGCGAAGAATGGAGAGAGCCGCTAACGACACTCCGCTGTTAGCGTGAAACATCAGTCACAAACAAGTCACACTGAAAACCTTTCTATCAAGCTCCGGGTTACTCGTGTACATCTTGTCGTGGCAGACACACACGCCGTGTCCTGATCGTGTGGATTTATCACAGCGAAGGTGAGCCTGTTGTGTTTGTGTGCGATGAGCTAGCAGAGCATTATTTGATAGTAAGCTTTTTGGTTGTTAGCTAATATTTTCGTTGCTAACTGAGCTAATTTCCTTGTTGCGCTCGGTCCAGCTGTCACCTAGCCATCAGTAGGTGTTAGCTAAGGCGTTAACACCAAGCACTGAGCCTGGTTGTTGTATTTGGTGCCTCTTAACCAAGCAAATATTACGATGAATATGGAAATGTGTGCGTGGTTATTTTTGGGAGAGTATATTTTAAACCAAAGCAGCCACTGTGGCTTAGCAGTGTTTGGCTAACGTTAGCTTTGTGGCTGGTTAGTCAGGTTTTCTGTTGGCAAGCGTGAAAGCTAACTCTGCTAACGGTGAGTTAATCGATGTGACCATCAGTGATGTTAAACTGCCAAAGGCTCGCTTTGTTCGCGAAACGTTGGCGTCCAACTGCCAACTCGCTTCCTTGTTTTGATTCAGGTGGAGGGCCCGCTTTTACAAAGGATCGATCATCTTTATATTAGCCTCAGCTGCCTGTACAAAACACTTCCTCACACACACAGTGTTATCACTGCCTCTCAGTGCAAGGTAGCGGATGCAAAGACAGGATGGCACAGAAATAAAATGTATTTAATAACCAAGGCCCCTCCTCAGCCTGGTCACCGTGGGCACAATTATATTGAATCTAACTGGTGCAGGTTATGTTGATTTTAGCAGGTGCAGATGTCAGGTTAAATTGTACCTCCTAATGTGCACATTTTCTTTGCTAGTAGCCAACTAAATGTACTTTTTCATTGCTGAACTGCATAGATTGCTTATTACTGAATCATCCTGTTACCCTTTCTCTAGTATAATAACTGGTTGGAGTCATTTTTCACTAAACAACACAGTGATTTTAAGAGAGCAGTGCAAACCACTTCTTATTGAGATATATGTTACCAGCTGGACTTCTGCCCAAACTACGGCTATGTGGATCCACAATATATTGTCGTTGGCATCCTTTAATAGAGTTCCCGTGAAGGCTGGTGTAAAATATTGTCTGTGTTGCATTTACTCAAAACGTCACTATGAAGTGGAGCCTGACTATGTGCAACAAACTCACTGTGTGCAGGCCTCAAACTGGGAAAATCCCCAGTTGTTTTTATTGCAGATTTTGCAGGTAATTATTTACCTGAGAAACGTGGTCAGTGGCTCATCCTTCAGCATACGTGCAGTTAATTACTACACAATGTGGACTTCCTCATTAAATGTTAAGTAAACAATACGTTGACTTGACAAAATGAGTATATTTCTGCTTATCACGCAATATGTGCAAGATTTGCAGATCACACTCGAGATGGAAAAATGAGATCATTATCATAGATGTGGGTGCAGAGTCATGAATGTATACATGTGTGAAGGGAAACTATATCCCTACCTATTATTTTATGTATCTGTTTATTGGTATCTGGCATTTTGGATCTAGAAAAAGTGCTTTACAAATAAAAATGACTATTATTATAGCAGATAATCTAAATTCCCACCAGTTATAGTTCATAAGAGCTGGCGGTAAGGAGAGAGAGGCAGCTGTTAGCTGGCACTGCCACAGTAGGAGTCCGCACTATTGGCAGGCCCCCCTCTCAGGCTGATCTTTCCACTGAAGGTTAATCACTCCACTCAGAGCCTTTATGTTTCTGTAAAAATGAAAAGATGTCAACAGATTAGTCATTTTTAATAGATGCTAATCAGCTCCAAGTGCCACTGTTTCTTGAGATATTTTGGCAAATGTGTGGACTGTAATCAAGGCTTTTTGAAGTCTAATATATATTTTCAATGCCACCTTGGCGTGTTGCTGAAAGAACATATACCAGTGAATGACTCTGGATTTAAAAACTAGCTATTAACCAATTACGCAGACATTCCTGAAGTCTTAAAATGTTTAGTTTTTGATTAACGGCGTTATCAGAGAGAAACCTTTTGCCACTTTTTGTCAGTCAGCCTTGCTGCTTTGGCTCTGTGCCAGTGACTAGACTGTAAACATTTGTGTTGATGTGTGTGTTTTGATACTTTCTCCACATTTCACTGGGTATTATAACAGCATTGTGAAAATAATACTGCCATAATACGGTGTTTATATATTATATATTTCTACTAACACCAAATTCCTGCATCATCAGTTCCAGTGAGACTAGAATATAGAAACAGTCTGGTGCATGCTTCCAGCTGAAACAATATTAGTGTATAGGTGATGTGACACAAATGTTAGATCTGTAAGCTGTAGTCACAACAACTCAGAATTGAGAGCATTGTCCGTAATATGACACGTTTCTTGGTCATGCAGAATGAGCTTAAGACAAAGGCGTGAACAGAATGACATCAGTCAAGTTATGACTGTAATTTTTCAGGAAGCAAATGAGCGTCAATCTAATGTTTTAATTATAAGAATGTAAAATTTTATCTACTTTTTGCATTTAATGTTAAATAGGGAAATTAATCAGTGCACATAATGATGGTACTACTCCTTGAGCGCTCATACAGGCCAAGCCAGAGTCAAATGAAACGCCTTTATGCAAATGAGCACTATATCAAACATCAGGCTGCGCTATCATAAATCTATACCGCCATCAAACACTCAGCCACACTTACTTATCTACTCTACTCCAGCACAAACCCAGCTACAGTTTCCACTTTGAAACTATGACATTCAAAATACACAACTCAGCATTTCTCCAACGTTGCGTCAGCCTACATTTTGCACTTTCCCTCACCTGGAGAAACAGGGATGGGGAATCAAGTGTCAGATCTCACCGAAGGTTGTTTCTGTCCAATCTCAAAACGCCTTGGCCAATATTTTGGGACAGGCCAAGGCTTGCTCTTCGTGCACAGGTCATTTAAAAAAAAATCAACTAAAAAAAGGTAATGTCAAGCTGAATTGTGGTCAGGCGATAATTGATGGGTTCCAAGATTGCATTTCTACCAACGCGTTCTTCCTCTTTTGCTCCCCACACTGACTGTTTACTAGCCACTCAAACGTGATTGGTCAATACTGGTGGGACTACAAACAGACCACTAATGTAAACCAGAACGCCTCTGATACCAAAATCTTGTTCCGCTGCCTTCGGATTCAGCATACATGGGCAGATATCTGTTAATAGAGATACTCATGCACCTCTGACAATATCACTTCCTTTTATTAGTGACTGCATGTTGTCTACATCAAGGCATTTTAATATGAGAACCTGACCTTAAGAGGACAGTGTTTTTTCAATGTATGAACACATTTTACCAAACTGGAAGAAGGCAAAATGCTTTATTTACAGAACAAATTTTAAGCAGGCCTGGAAGTAATCAGTATATACTTATATATTTGTTTGCAGTGCATGATATTTTTGATTGCTGACAGAATAACAAATCAGAAAGAAAGGGGTTAATGAGATAAATCTGCAGTGGGATAAATCCCTTCGTGTCTCCTCCTTCTGAGAAACCAAATTACTCTTATAGGATGCCAAAAGGTGTGTATCCTCAAACATATCCTCATTTATCAGGAGACATGGCGCCTCCGCAGGGATAAAGGCTGGGGATTCCCCACATCACATCAAAACTGAATAAGCCATTTGTGGAAACCACAGACCGTTTTTTTTAGCAGTCCAGCGGATTGCTTGAATTTGTTCTCCGCTTTATTAATTAGGTGGTCTACTGATGTGAATTTACACAGGATGCAGAGCTCCTTTGTAATATATTAAATTGCAGTTTTTTGCAGTTGCGCTATGATATTTATTTTGTAAATCCCTTAAACACACATGAGGTGAACAAAATTACAGGGGCACCTTATTATACTATAATATTGCCATTGAGTATCTGCTTAAATTGCTGCAGAGTTGCACCGTTTCATCTTAAATTCAACATTTATAATGGCATTACATTTTGCTGCTGGAGATGTTACACTGTCCGTCTCCCCTTCCCCCACATAAGCTAAATGAAACAAGATTTTTTTTGTGACTCTTGTAATCTAAAGAAGAAAACAGGGGTTGCAAGACCTTTATGATTTGCTTTAGTCAAGTTTTTTTCAATAGATTAATATATATTTAACAATGAGCACGTCACAACACATTACATGTAGCTGATGTATCAACAACCAAAGAAAATGATACACACTAGGTAAATAATACTTAGGGGATCGTTTACAGCACATAGTGTGATACGCCTTTGTAATTAAAGGTTGCAGATGTTTTGCTGGAACCCTTCATGAAGCGTAGTTTTGCTGCCTTGTTTGAATTGAGTCCTTGCACCAGTTTAATGTTCATTTTTCCATCCTAATCCTCCAGTTAGGCATGTCTGAACATGTCTGAAATACAATGTGGCTGTGGAGTTGCATTGCAGATGCATAAAACAGGCAAAGAAACTGTACATACAGAATCAGTTTTGGGATATTGTTTATAATGTGATAATCCCATACTCTGAATTTAGCATGAAAACACCTTTGAAATAAAACTTGCTTATAATTTGCTCCAAACAAACTGGTCTTAAACTCAAGAATTGTGTGTTGCATTATCATCTTAAACAATGCACTTAAAATAAAACAAAATAAACAAAATAAATGTGGAAATGAACAGAATTTTGAAACATTTGCTCGGCTTTAATTAACACCCAGAAGCACATGAGTGGACGTGACAAATGACCAGCAGTGTGACAGCTCAGTGTCTCCTGACCAGTTATCAATCATGCCTCTCTTCCTGAAAACAAATGCCCACACTCCATTATAGTCACACGTTACAGTCTTATTGAATCACCAGTGTTGCCTTATTTTTGTAGTAACAACTTTGAATAAACTGGGAGTTCAAAGCTGTGTTCAGCCATATCACAAGGTCAGGTATAATTCAGTATTTTAGCAGTGATATGCAATGTGGCGTTGCAGTCTGGGCTCTTTGGTAACAACAGCGTCTGGGGAATAATCAGTGAGTGTGTGTTTATTATTCTGCATCCACCACGGAGTTTGTGTGTGTGTGTGAAGATGGTCTTTGATCAGGAGATACACCTAGCCGATCTAATCTAAACACTGGTGCGCACCGGATCAGAGTGGCCTACAAATGATTATTTGCACAATGGAAACGGTTACACAGCTCACTATTTGTCGTTGCCGCAAAACTGTTTTATAGCCGTGTTGTTCTGTTCCTGGTTTTATGTAATAGCAACAGTGCACAGTTGCCCTTGAGAGCAAACTAGCTGTCTTTGATGCTGAGATCTGTGCAGGCACTGCAGGCAATACTGAGCATGAGTCATCCGGAAGCCCACACACAAATACTTTTCAGCAGCAGCCTTTTCCATGCTCAGGAATTACAGCATTGTCATGAAAATATTAGTAGCTGTTGTTTTTATTGAAAGGATAAAAAGTCGTTTTAAATGGGAAATGGTTCTTTTTAAATATATTTTTTTGGGTGAAGTAATGAGTGGTGATCTTCTGATTTACAGGCAACATTTTGTCTGCAGCTTGCTTCAGTGCACTAACTTGCTGAAGATGAATAACAGAATAGGAAGTCCCCATTCCCAAAGAGGCCTGGAGCTGATAAACATCATATGCTTTATTTCTTAATGACTGCTGAATCATACACCGAACCGCCTTATGTTTTACAGTCACATAATTTAATATCCGCATTGCCTGTGGTAGAAGGTTGATCCCAAAATTATTTTTCTGAGCACTTGATGAAATCCGACCAGTGTCCATCAAGTTAAGCTACGGTGTCCTTGCGAGCAGACATAGCTTTATATAATTGTTTACATAATATTCCCCGCTGACATTGTCTGCCAGGCTATAGCTGTGGGTGGTGGAGAGTCTTAGATGCCTTCATGATCACAGACTATGACTTCAGGTTTGTGTTGAACGCTCCAAGTGTTTACTGGTGTTTTCTGTGACCACTGTGACTTGATGACTATTGCTTTAGCTCAGCAGCGCTGTTACAGTAAGCCAGCCCTGTCCTCGTTTAGCACCGTCTGCTTGTAAACAGTGAGTGTTCACATGATTCATGACCTTCAAAAATGAGCTAAACTCGCAATGTTACGGTGGAGTTAAATTTAGAAAATAGTTGTAGCTGCTGGAATGGCATTGAAACGCTGTAGAGATTATTGCTGACTGTTTTTGTGGTCCTCTTTATTCATCGTGGCAGCCTTTTGTAGGAGTTAAGAAGAGCAAATGGAGCTTTTTCTCAGTTATTAAAATTAAATGTCTAGCCAATGTAGCCGTCCCCCCATGCCTCACTGTCTGAGCAGTCAGTACATGACTTGCCCCCTGACTGAACTCTGCTGAGATGTGCAGATTTTTTCCCAGATTTTGCTGCACCTGTTTTCCCATGTAATATTAAGTGTAGTGAAAATATTAATGACAAAATGTCGTACGCCTGCCAGTGCCCTCAACCAAGGCTGTGGATCATTATTGAACGTTTTAAGCCTTATTCAGTTCCACTTTGTGTTTTATTTTACTTTATTGTGTTGTGTGTTTTCACTTCTTGAAGCAAAGAGGCATGTTGTTCAAGACTTAGAATAGCCAAAATGTCCTCAGTGTGAAACTACTTAAAATTGACATTTGCAGTGACAGGGTTTTCAATGTGCTGGCTTGTGGAATTGTAATTTAAATGTTATTTTGAGTGTCACCATTTTGTGGTTTGTGTTTTTATACTTGGAAGAGCTCTTATGATATTTGTACGTTTCAGCTTTCTGCTAAAGAAAAAGATCAGCCTGCATCTTGTAATTTGGTTCTTAAGCCCAATTTTTTGTAGGATGTTGTCACAACTTCTTAGGCTGCATCCTCACGACTACAATTTCGTTTTTAAAGGTATAACTATTGCTGTGTTTACACCTAGTTTTCACAGTACTCCACCGTTTTGGATCCCTTAAAGCAGAGACTTTTGAAGACACTGCTGATCCAGTTTTAGTTTGAAAACTCCAAGGTTGTGTTTTAGTCTAGATGGACATAAACAGAGACTTTTAAAAATGTCATCCATGTTCGCTTCCCGATTGGGTCTTATCAGCCACAGTGTGTCAAGCCACAACATTACAGCCAGGTCAACATACCTTTTGTGATTTTATCCTTTTTGTGTGGGTACTTCTTTCCCAGTGCCATGGTTTCCTTTGGAGATGGGTAATGCTCCCGTCCAGGGCTGCTCTCATATGTCGCTATTTGCTTTGTAACGACTCCCAGTCTGTTTGATGTCACTTTGACCACCTTATACTCATGTGTTACTCTGAGTAGCATTTCCACCTTGTCGTCGGTCCAAGCAAAGAAATCTCTGGTCTTATTTTTCGCCATCTTCATAGTATTTTCTGTCACTAAGCAACCAACTATCGTATCTATTTTTTCACACCTTCCAGAAATTGCACTGGGGTATACGGTATATAACGGTATTAGTGTCCCCCACCCTACCCCTGCAACTGCAGAGTTTACTAGGTTTCGCGAGCCAAGCTCTCAGCTTTTTCAGTCATATAAATCAACATTATAAAAATTCACAAAATGAGATGACAGTTGAAATTCTTAGACTTATTTTCCTTATTAAACAGATAGATACAACCATACACCTTCTAAGTTCAAATTTCTTTCTTTTACCAAACTTAGACTAATGTTATGAAATTGCCCCATTAAGTCATTATAAAACACACTTAGAAACACAATAAAACTCAGCAAAACCATCTCGGTTAGTCTTATAAGTCATCTAGTTAGTTAGTTCATTGCTCCAACAATCACCTCTGCTGGTTTGGTCAAAATAAACCCTGAATTCATCGAATTAGATGTGAAAACATACTGTTCCTGGCCAGCTGTGTACAGTCATGTAACTTTATCCCCACCCCCCCACCACTTGAAATGGCAGTGTCAGTCTGCTCAGCTGCCTTTTTCACCAGTAGAAACCTCAGACATTCTGGCAGTGCAGAATGTGCACTACAAACAGTGAGTTTACAGAGTGGTAGAATTTTGATGGTATTACAAATCATACCGTTGAGATTTTCAAATACCCTGGTATCCCATACTACTAGGGTACATGAATGGTCCTATGATATGTGTTTTCATTCTTGTAGATTAATCCTGAAATGCTGCTAAAACACTGTGAACTGAGATTTTGTTCTAAAATGACCATGTAGTAGTGTGGATATAGCCTCAGCCTACATATTCCATGCACTGCTCTCTGTGGAAACTTAATGTCTTTTGTCTTTGTCATGTGTTTTTTACAGGTCTACCACCTCCTTCCTGTGACAAATGTTGAGGCCAGAGATCAGCCTGTTCAACAACTGTTAGAGGTGACAGGGCGAGGACGGGGAGGAGTGCCGGTTTGCTGTGCCAGGTTGTGTCTCATGAGAGTGACTGTGCCATCCAGGCACTGCCAGTGACTAGGGCTGTGGCTGTGGTGGGCCCGGCCCAGGAGGCCTCTTCGTACATCACTCCAGGCTCCTGCTGACCTGTGCTGCTCACACCATGGATCAACAGAGAGATAAATATGGCGAGCGGCCCGCCAGGAGCACTAAAGTTTCCCAGGGAAGCCGCAGCGGACACTCGTCCCGACCATCTGGCTCCTCCAGCTCATCTGGGGTCCTCATGGTGGGGCCGAACTTTCGAGTGGGCAAGAAGATCGGCTGTGGAAACTTTGGTGAATTAAAACTCGGTAGGTTAAGTCTAAACCTTTTTTTTAATGGAACAGCTGACAGAGTGAAAGTTTAGTTTATAGCATTTGGTTCTGCATGTAAATACACACAGTTGCAGTTTATTAGGTACAAGTAAGCAAAACTAAACTGTCTGAGAGGTGTTATTTAGGCCTGTCTCGATAATTACGTTATTGTTTTACTGTTTGATGTATGAAAATGAGCTCGATCATTTTGTTAACCTTGATATTGCCTGTTGGTTTATACGTGTTTGTTTACATAAGAACATCACCAATATTTGAGCCAACATGATGCCAGAATAAACAGAATGGTTTTCCCGTCTATTGCTTGGCTGCAGCAATCATCCCTTTGTTTTTTTTTTTCTATCCTTCTCCGCCCTACTCACGTGAGTCTGAGGAAAAATAAAACAACACTTAAAAGACGACAACCTCGTAGCTTACCAGTAGCCTGCAGCTGCACTTTTGAACTGGAAGATGCACAGTCCTGATAGTTGTCAGCTACTTCATCCTCCACTTAAGTGGCAACGTCCAGGGCTGAAAAATGAAGCCAACATGAAAGTGCCAAAGAACATTCAAAGAACTGCAGTTCTTTGAGTGGCCACTTGAGGCTGACTCCAGAAGCCAGTCAATTCCCACAGACCCCCATGTTAAAATGCCAAACTGTACAGCAGAAATAAACATGTTTAAAGCCTGGTACAAAAACAGTTTTGGTCTCTGTAGCTAATTACCCTTTTCATGACCACTCTACGGGGGATGAATTTTCATATAACTAACCCCTTTATATTTTGTTGAGGCTTAAAGTTGTGCATAATCAAGGGTGGGCCACTTCGAGTGACAGGCTGACTGCCGATAGTATCCTCGGCTTTTCAGTCCGCACCCCTCGCTACTCCACAGCGCCAGCCTCTTGTTCCAATATGGTCACTTCTGGCTCCAAAAATTTAAGATAGCAACAGCCGAAATGCAGAATTTGAGGCTTCAAAATGGCAGTCCACAAACCAGTGGGTGACATCACGGTAGCTACGTGCATTATTTTTTACAGTTTGCGCCTGCACAGCGTAAATCCACCAGCAGACTGCTCCCTGGGAGCTGACTGCAGCACGCTGGCTGAATTACGGTGTTAACTGCACTGTTGTGGAGCTTCGCTAAGCTCATGTGTTAGGCATCACTTGTTGTTGTTGTTGTTGTTGGATAAATTTTGTATTAAGTCTCAAACTAAGTCATTTTGGGCTGATCCTGTAAAGGTGCCATACTTTGATAGACTTTATTGTATGTATCTTGAATGTGTTAACTACAAAAAGAAATAATTATTTTTTTCATATCCCAATTCCAATGTCTGAATATGCTCAAGAATTGTAAGTTCATTGCTCTTTGTAAGAATGTATTTGCATTATTTTGCTGTCATATTATCATGATGTCAGTGGCATTAAATGGTCTGAATATGACAATATTGATTCAACGTTATGGTCATTTTGAAGGCTGTCGTTTGTGGTACGGTTGAATTATATTGCATTATGCTGAAGTATTTCTAATATTTTCTCCACCCCATATATATGAATAAAACATCTCTTCGTATGATGCAATACAACTTTACAGCAGCCTTCAAAATGACCTTGAACTAAACCAAAACCTCTCAAAACGGTTAAATAAAAACTGAACATTATAACTGAATGAAGGTACTTCACTGCAGGACTGTTACATTAGACTGCATTATCTTTGGTTAGGCAACTGAGCGTATAATCAGAGGCAAGCTGGGAAAAAAGGAAACACGATTGAATCATTTTCTGTTGCAAAGTTTCCAGGAAATTTGAATGAAAAAATCTTCAGACAATCAGACAAAGTCCCTTACAGAGTTGCTCGTTCCCTGGTGAACCTTTTTTGAAGTCGCAAGTGGTGTACTTTATTTTTAAAGGCCATCTTTCCTGTCTTGTTTCAGGTAAAAATCTCTACACCAACGAGTATGTAGCTATTAAACTGGTAAGTGCACTCTTTCTTTCTCTGCTTGATATCCTCATCTTTGTAAATATAAGAATCTATTTCAAACCGGTATGTACAGTTGCACAGATACATAATGAATCACTGTATTTTAGTGATGCATCTAAAAGGTTACGAAAATTATATGATGTCAGTGCTGTGTTCAGACAGGGAAGCTGTTATTAAGCTTCGATTAGACACAAATTGCATGTCTGTCAAAATTGCATTTGCACTTGATTTCCAGAAATATGACTCGGAGGTTGTGCTCGGGCGGCACGGGGGGGGGAGGGGGGGGGGAGTTGTTGTGCTGGACTGTTCTGGTCTTAGAGAGAGATGTGAATGAGGTATAGATGCTTGGCAAAGTGCGTCTTTCCAGTGGCTGCTGGACTGGAAACCCTGACTCCTGACTCATGCTTTTATTATTGCTCACGAGAGAGTAGTAAATACAGTAGCTATGATAGTATTAAGGTTACCGAACCAAATCGTTCTCAGCTGCTCACACTGCTGTATGGTGATGTGAAACTGATGGAACTGAGAAATGATTCAGTAAAATGAGTTTTGAGTCTTAAAACATCAGTGAACTCTGAAGAAATTATAGACTTTGGGGACACCATTAGGCACCTTGTATCTTTAGTGCATACGCAGGTCACTTTTATCAGGAAATAATTTTCCAGGTGACTTCATATTGTGCCTTTCACTCGATTATTAAACAGCTTTTAGTGTTTTAATTTTATGTTAACCACCCTTAATGGTAGGAATGTAAGAAAATGTTTATACACTTGACTAAAGTAATATTTTTTGTGATAATGAATTGATTCTCAAACATTATCGGTTTTTACTTTGTTTCCCTAAAGAATCCTGCAAGCGCTTTAATTATTTTGATGATACAGGCAAATGTTCATTCTTTCTCCCAGATTGCACAAAAAGCAGTGTTATGATGTTGGATGTTTTAGGGAGTGTAATAAATATTATAAATTACATATTGCACTGTTCTGATTGCATAAAAAAAGTAAACTTATTTTTTGCATATGGTGGAGTGTTCTTTATACTGTGACATTTTTCCTAAATTAGATTTAAATTGCAACCTGAGTATCATGATCGCAACCTTACGAAACGTGATGTTTTAGTCAAGGGTAACTTTGGGGAAACTTTTGCAAATTCTTAAGTTTGAGTTCAGAAGAAGCTTGGACAGAACCTGAAAAGTGGAGACTGATGTTAAGGTTTTCGGATGACTCAGACAATGGAGGAGTCAGCCGTCTGCTCTAACAGAGTTTTCGGAGGAGGACAAAGATGACGGACATGTTTTTAATCCCAGGTGGCAGGGCATAATTTACATGTTTGAGCTTTTGGTAGAAGAAAGAGTTCCTGGTGACTTTTGTGCAAAACTGACACTGACGTTGTTTATGTTGCTCGGGCCAGTTAGTTTGGTAGACCCATTAGTGTTACATGGTGGGAGGGTTGTCCTGGTACATCTCAGTGTCTGTAAATCAAATTTCATTCGATAGCATGTTTGTATTTGCCCTCAAGTGCAAGATGAGTCATCATCAACAAACATGTTGACACTTCAGGAGAAAAACTTCAAGTTCTTGAAGGTATACTATGCAGGATTTTATGAAAACAACGCAAAGACTCATACAAAAGTAATACCTCAAAATCATCCTTTAAGAGGTCGAAATCTGGCTCTTGAGCAGTGACTTGTGGCGTAAGACACTGACGAAAAATGCCGTCCTTTAACGTTGGCATGATAAGCGGCTGCTTGCTGTTTTAATTTATCAGCGTTTGGCGGCGTCAAGGGGAAACGCGGGGGGACAAGAACGGAGGTTAAGGCCATGAAAGTCCCGAGTAGGGAAGTGCAGGAGGGGTGGTGGATGTGTCAAACAAACACTGACTTTCACCCGGGAGAGCAGCGTTAGTGTCCCATAAGATTCTAAAGCCAAACCCTGTTGTTTTTTCCTAAACCTAACCATTTGTTTTTCTTGGGGAACCTTGACCTTGCACGTTGTACCTGGACGTGGAAGGTCCATGACCAATCGTCAATATATGATGAGGTCGGAGTGAGAATATGTTGTCTCCAGAGACTAGGGGTATAAATCAGAGGTTTCATCACAATATGATATATCGATTCTTAGGACAGAGATATGATATTTGCTGATATCACAATGTCTGCCACGATACAGTTTTTACCGGAACCAAATTAAGGGCCTGTGCTTGATATCAGTATATATATCTCCACTTTGTCTTTTTCTTGAATGCTTGCCATTATCTGCCTGGGGCTTGGCCCTCAGCACTGTTTGAACGTTTAGGAAGGAGGTGAGCTTTGACGGAAATGGTGACACAGACGTGCCATGGGCATTTCAAAATAAAGGTGTATTTAGAAAATGACAATAAATTAATGATTTCACTTTGTATTGATGATATTTGATTGTTGATAATTGAGTCAATATGTATTGATCCAGATCAGTGTATCGTCACACCCCAAGCAGAGACTCTGCCCTCTGCCTGTACTTTCTTATTTTGTCCATATTTACTCTAGTCTGGATATTCTTGGTCACACCACATATGTGAGGTCAGGACTTTACTGTAAATATCACACATCCAGGAAGCTACAAAGATCGCGTACACAGCGCTGTGAAAATGTAAATATAGCAAGGCAAATTGCACAGCAGACAAAACTCGTTCCAAAAAGAGAGCGAATCTGGGGTTAGCTTTCACTGTCATTGGTGATACTGTTCATGAACAGTAACTGAAAATTCCTGCATTGTATACCTTTAAAGAGCTGATTTAACATATCAGTAACATTCTGTTTAAGGTGTTTGTTCTTATTCTGTTTTACTCAAGTTTTGTGGTTCTTGTCATTAACTGCCATTAATTGAGTACTGGTTTGGTTGTCTCCGCTGTGCAGGAACCAGTGAAGTCGAGGGCACCACAGTTGCATTTAGAGTACCGGTTCTACAAAACACTGGGAACTACAGGTAAGGTCACACACGTGTCTGCAACTCCTTGCAGTGTTTTTGTTTGACTGCATGACATTGATTTGACTGTTTTGGAAGATCAGATCAGAAGATTGCATCATTTCCACAACAAGCGATTACTCCACTCAGATTACATATTGATATTAAGCTGAGTCAGCAACTTATTTTAATCTCCAGGACTTTGTGTATATAAGTGCGCGAATGACTACATGCCTAACAGAGAGCGTGTTGAACAGTGACCTTGCTCGACAATAGACCTACCGGGGCTGCAATTCAATATGAAAGGTGTTGACATAAAGCTTCTTAAACACCCACAGAACAGATGCAGCAGCTTATGTTTTTTTCTGATCTTCAGAAGAGACTTCCTTGTTGTTATCTGGGCAGAATATGCAGGAAGTGTTGCACGCTATATTTGAGGATGTAACTTGTGTTTAGTGCTGTGTGTCTGCAATGTTACTGGTTTCCTGTCAGCAATAGACTGAACACACATGTGCCCAATGTCCAGGTCTGACTGAGCTAATAATAACTGAAACATCTTCTGTGTTATTCAGCTTTTCACACTGGATCAATGTGAGTCTGTCTGGGTGTGAACATGTTTCCCTGTACAGTGAACTAAGTGGCTTTTTAAGCAAAGACTTTTTAAGTAAAGGGAGACTTGGTGGCAATGGAAAGAAGCTGTAATCGCAACACTGACATATAATCACGTTATTAAGTTGACATGACGAACTTGTTAGCATGGCAGTTACAGAGCAACATTGTCACTTGAGAGTCGTGTCTCTGGACACCTGGTGAATGTGCGTCCAATAGTCACCCTTTTTTAAGCTCTCTCCACCAGCTCTTGAGAGATTTATCCAGCACTAAACGCTCCACGATGTTCACCAGCTAGTTGACGATAATGAAGAGAGAGGGGGAAAAACGATTAAGTTTTGGGCTGGAAAACAAACACAAAGTGTTGAAAATGTTGAAACTGCGTCACAGGGGAGCTGCAGAGTTGGGCGATGATTCCCTGTAGTTCTGTTACTACGAGTGACCCCTTTCACATTACACAGTCATTAGATCCATCTCATTATAGGAAATATTGATTATAGTCGCATTAAGGAAATGTGAGGTTTTACTCTTCAGTGTGACACAGGCTCATACATCGTCACGGTGCAGCGTGTAGCAGAGGAATTCACTTATTTGATTAGCCTTCTGTTATCTTGATAAAACATCTGTGAACGCTGGAGCAAAGCTTCTGTCACTGTGTGAGCCGAGATCATGTGGTCAAAGATCAGCACTGAGATACTTCACCAGATGGGTTTTAATTGTTTCATATATTTATTTGCATGACATAGAAAGTGCAGATATCAGCCAAATATCACTGATGATCATTTGATTTTTTTTTGTGCAGTGCAAGTGTGCATTTAATACTCCGTAATCCTTGTCACACTGCACTTAGCCCCAAGCTAACAGAGCTGTTCAGACTAAAGATTTGTGACAAGATAAAACTGTTTCAGAACGTTGCAGAGAAAAGTTGCAGCGGTGTGAACTGGCTGTTGGAGCTCGATTCAAGCTGGCTGATGGTGTCACCTGCATCTCCACTGGTCAAATTGCTGGTGAACGTAAAGCTTGTCACCTGTTTCTACAGCCAAACGGCTTGTAGTGAAGTCCGCAGGTCAAGTCAAAATGGCCGCAGACATGCTGCAGCAGATGCTCTGTCCCCGATGAGCCCTCTGTTTCCATCCTCACTTGTGCCAGTGGCGATTGATGGGTCGCTGCTGCTGCTCGCTGTATGTTTAACCCCCCTCACACACACATTGTTCCATGACTAGCTAATTAGCACTGCTTACTTATGTTACTGTGGCATATTTATTGTGAATACAGTCCATCTGATGCTCGTTTTGTTGCCGTTTCATCACTCCTACAAATGCAGCTGTAGCCAGCATCTCACTATCACTATCCTCATTCATATTTTAAGAAGCTACAAATTATATTCAGCCACAAAATAAGCCTGAAAAGCTGGATATCAGAACAGAAGTATAGACAGTTGTTGCATAGAGATGACACGCCATCTCATATAGTTGCATTGGTGTGAACCGACAGGTTTTTACAGTGTTGCAGAACGCCGCAAGAAGTTGCATGTTTCAACTCAGCTTGTCGTGAATCTTTGGTCTGAACTGAGCTTTAGACTGGGGCAAAGAAAGCTTTCACACTGGCAAAATCCTGGCACATTCCAAAGTGGGCTAAGCCAGACTGTAGTGTAGTGCTTACTGGCCCTGCTCCAGAGCCAGGTTAGCCTTGAGTTTATGCAGTTATCCCCTGAAAATCAACTAAACATGGGGCAAAAAGTTGCTGGCGTCAAACGGAGCTAATGGAATTTGCATCATGTTTTTGTTGTCCAATCACGTGATTGCTTTGTCACGTCATCAGTACGCTCATGCTTTAACTACTACTAACTAAAACCGGAGATACCTAGCAAGCTAGCTAACTTAAAATTAGGAGATTAGGCCCATTAGGCAAATCACCTCTCTTTGCCACTGCTGGAAAAGATAAAACAATAGACATCTTCTTTTCAGTCTTTCCTCTGCTGCTCTCTTTTTTGATGTGTCAGCACCGCTCTCACATAAAGCCTGGCTAAAGGCGGCGTATTAACGTTGCTTCTTGCTGTTGAACAATAGTGGCGTCACTCCAGAGTGTAAACATTAGTCATATGATTTACAAACTGATTTAACCCGGGGCTCGTGAAAGTGCAGTGTGAAATGTATAGCTCGGGGCTTAGGTTAACCGTGGGTTAACTTAGTGTGGTTGTGAAAAGAGGCTAAGAATATGCAGTGTGAAATTCCCACTTTGTAAATCTGGTGTTGTCTGCAATCAGTCCGAATACCCAAATGATTCCAGCTGCCTATATGTCTATAATGTTGGTTTTCCAGATACCTTACCCGACAGTATATCCTGCAAACCAGAACATGTTTATTTTTGTTCCAGTCCTTATTTTACCTTTGTTTACACATAACGGCTGCTGGCAACAGCTTCTGCCTTACACTGTCTGGTTCATGGTGTTGAATAGTCATGTCAACACTAACTCTATTTGTCTTTTTCCAGATCCTCTTATTCTTTTTTTCCACAACCGTGCCCTTTACACTTTATTACTCTGTGTTCAGAATGAAGTACAATACAATAATAGTTGCTTCTCGACTTCCCTTAAGTCTGCTCCCCTGAGGATTTATCAGTTTGTCATAAAAGATTAGTCAAGGTCTGCTGACGCATCTCTGTTGCAGCAACCACTGACAAGAATCTTGTGAGGATTAAATGACTACAACAGAGAAATAAATTAAGGGCAACATTTTTTAGTCTTGGTACGAGAGGAAATGGGTGGGAGCGCTAAAAACAATGGAACAATAGAAAAATCTTTTTTAGTAGTTGTTTGTTGCTCTTCTAGTAAAATGGTTAAAATTATATTGTATATATCAGTCACACGAATACACCTAAACTGGAGCGAGTGATTGATAAGAGATGAGTTTGATCATGCTGCTTGTGAATTTATCCATTAAGGTTTTCCTTATAAATTGGCTTAATCAGTGCTACAGTTTAAGGATGGCCTTGGTTACGGTTTGGCATGGAAAATAAGAGCCATGTCTTTGTGATGTATGGTCCTTGATGTGCTTTTTGGAGCTCTACATGCATATATGATAACCAGACTGGGAACATAATGGCTATTGTTTTGCAAAGGCAAGGGCTGGAAAGGCCAACTGTGCGGAAACTCATTAAATATTTAGAGAGCGGGTCTGCCTCTCTTAGTACTAACCTGCCTCTGTCCTCTCCTCCAGATGGGATAACGTGACCTCATTTCTTCTTGGCTGTGTGCTGTGCCACATTCCTCTCAGCCAATGTGGTTGTCACAGTGTCTGTGCGACAGGGTCTTTATGAATTAATGTGGTTTGACTCAGATGCTCAATCAGGTGTTGTATCTGGTGCATAACCAACTGTCACTGGATATTAATGAGGATGATTCAATTAGGCATTAAGCATCTCCTTCCAGAGATTATGTGCGAATATTTATCAGCGCAGTCAATAACGATTTCACCGCTGCTCTGGTTTTACAAGACGGCAGACTGTGAGGAGTTATTGTGCCGAGGACAAGATGGTTGTGAAGATCAAGAGGGTTTGTTCAAGGGTGGGTGGACACTATTGAGCTGTTAAAGGCATTGGCAGTCAGACCTCATCATGAAACACTACACCAGCTCTGTGACCAGTGCAGTCCCAAGGAGTAAACATTTCCCACAGTGACACAGCTCACCAGATTTTACAAACATGTAAAGGAAAGGCCGGAGGTCTTATCCTGGATGTCTGTTCCCACTGATGTGAACACATGGATCTTTGTTAAGAACAGAACTCCTCTCAGTGCGTGGTTTTGCTTTAAGTGAAAAAATAAGGGTATGGTGAGAAACTAGAGAGCAGTGTTTAGTTGATTTTTTTTCAATGTTACAGCTTTATAGTCCTGCAGATGTTCAGGAAGAGATTTCCAAAATGTATAACTACTGAATCAGTAGCGATGTGATTACAGTATTATGTTACATTAATTTTTGTATTTCAATTGAGAAGTTCTTTAAGTGAGAAAAAAATCTCTACCGTAATCACAGGATTGACATTATCGTTTCAGGTGCTACATAACAACTTAATTTACTTCTGTCATTTTGGCTGCAGTCACATCATTATGATACATCATAATTACATCATATACTGTACATCTGATTTTATACCACGGTAACTGTATATATCACAATACAGTAATTGTTCCTTAAATTCAATTGATTATTTTCTTTTATTTGGGACAAAAGTTAAAAACGAAACAGTAAAGCTTTAAGGTTCCAAGAACAATCATTTTAAGTGTTATAGGTTTTAGTATTTACAACTTCACTCTCCTCAACATCGTCTGCCCAAATTATGTTGCCTTGCGAGCCAGCTGAATTCACAAGATCACGCGAGAATCAAGAGATAATGCGAGAATCCAGCCCTGATTG